ATGCGCGATTTGTAGATCCAAAAGTTTACATCGATCCACTCTCCTGGAGAAAGGATATCGTCGCTGTAGGAGTTTTGGGAGCTCTAGGCGTGGCATTGGCTCTGTTAACAGCTGCCATCATTTTGTGGGTATCTAAATCGAAAAAACGAAAACTCGAACGATTAGAAAGGCGAAATTCTATTCGACAATCCTTACATTCTCTACGATCGGTTGGTTCAACCTCCGGATTCACGGAATTGGCTTATCGGCGAAAACCTATTGCAGTAAGTTTACTATTTCAACGAAATTATCATTATAAACTTTCTTTTTTATATGACTATTCTATTCTACCATAATTTCTAGACAAAACAATCTACAGACACGCTTAACTCTAAATCGCTAGACTACAAAAGGATGCTTAACGGTGGAAGTATAGATTCTATGGACAAATCCCAATTGAATTCTTCCATGGAAGATAATCAAAGTTACGACGTATACGAGGCACATAATCCTCGATATTCTCCAAGTACTAGCGACTTTAAAAATACCGTACAAACTTACTCTAGCGCACAAAATACGGACAATCCAGTTTTCGACTTGACATATCGTAACGAGGGCTTTCGAAATCATTCGACATTCGCTTCGAGAAATAACAGTGACTGGCCATTGGATAGTACCACCGACGCTCCACCTGAAAGTAGTCAAAACGTTGACAATGTTAACGAGAATTCCTATCTCAATAATGCTTCTACATTACCTTTACACTCGAGTTTAGCCTTGACTGACTCCATGAGTGAATTGAAACGCGATATCGATACTACAGCTACTTACGGACAAGTCGATTATGATAAAATTCGTAATTACGACACGGCAACGTTAACACCTAGCCAAGCATCCGAACCTGTCCCCGAATATCAATCAGATTTCAGTCCTCCTCTTCCGCCTCATCCTTATCATTATGATCAGGAAACTCGACCAAGAAGCGAAGCTCTTCTCGAAACTAATTTAGATATCGGCGAAGAAAAACCTCTTCGTTCGAAAAGCGAAGTTTTATTAGAAACTAATCTTGATTCGTTTTTGGTAAACGAACCAACCGAACTGACTCAACTTTCAGCTGGTGCGCGCAGCAAGAGTCAACCATTGGAAACAGCTATGTAAAAATACCGTAAGAGACTTTCGTCTTTTCGCGAATTTACGTTAAAACTGGAAGACTGGAAGAATTTTGTTACCTCCGAATACCTTACGAATAACACTTTTATAATATGGAACACTACTGGTACTTGAAATAAAACAAAAAACAACGCGTTTTGTGTGATCTTCCTCGAGGGAAAATGCGGTGCAATAATAAAAGTTGCATTTTATAGATAATAATAATAATAATAATAATATAGTAACGTAATATGATATAGAATTATCATCCAGAGATCTCAATACTCGAAAGTCGTGTTGTACCTTTGATTCCAATGATTCCGATGATCAACGAACTATCGGATTTTAGTTGTTCCCCTTGTACATTTGCATAGAAATTTTTGTAATTCCAAAGAAAATATCTTTCCTTGTTAGCACAGTCGAACAATGCGAATGTAAACATTTCCTTTGGTCATAATCAATTAGTAAGAAATATTCGTATGCACTTGGAAAAGAATGAAGATTGTAATACTGCCAATCGTGCCTAAAAAGAGTTCTGATTCGTCTCAGTTAGTAATCCAAATTGTGATACGTAAACTCGAGCGAGTCTAAAGTATTTACAATACGTAATATGTAAGATTTAATTATTAATCGTTCATTCGCGTTTCGTGGTATCGTCAGCCAAGAAAACGTTAAGAAGGACTATATCTATTTGTATGTTTAAAAACTGACAAAAAATAATCAAAATTGATCGCACGTGTGCGTGCGTATGCGTGTGTGTGTATGTATGTGTGCGTGCGTGTGTATGTGCGCGTCTGTTCGAACTTATTCAAATAATTTATTCGACGCGGTCCTTCTTAAATAAGATGATAATTTTACAAAAATAATATATAGTTAATATTAACAAAATAATCCGCCCATTTGCTGTAAGTTTATCTTGTATGTAGAAGCACAAATTTAAACGAATTGTCTTTCTAAGAGAGACATTAATATATACTAGGGCAATTTGAAATATTCATGCCTCTTTTCTCGTTCATTTAAACAAATTTCTCTTAATTGAATTTTTCACAAATTGCTCTTGTATATATTATACATATATAATTATAAGATAGTTACTTAAGCGCAAGGTATACGCATTTAATACTTTTTTCATCGATTTCATTTTTTTTACCTTGACATAGCGATATATTATATATTTATATATATATAATTATATCACTTCCACAAAACTTACCTTTTTTATCTATATTTTTATATACGATCGGTATTAATAACGCATATTTATAAATCTATATATTTCTTCTCGATTAAGAAAAAATAATAAAACACAGAGAAAATACAAGCAAATACAAAAGGGACGAACAATAAATGAATAAATGAGAGTTGAAAAGATCTGCACGTATAATTCCATTTCATCCCGTCGACGTGATTTGTGGTATATAAAAAAAAAAACCCAAATGCTTTCAAAACAATATCGAATATATTAATATTAATATCGTCAATATAACATAATTACAATATCGAATTCAGGTTACTATTTTATCGTCGCCGTCCTGGCTGAGGCTGAAAACGAGGAAGGAAAATTGGCAATAATCATTTTATTTAACGAAAGTGCTCGAATTTAAATGAAAAATTACACAAAAAAATTAATTTATTGCATAATAATTATGCATTTTTTGTTGTAATTTTTCATTTATAGTTAAATCACCACTTTCAAGATAACTGACAAATTCATGTGCAATTGGGATAATGAATACGCACGATGTGCGACGTTAATTATATAAAAAAAAAAAAAAGAAAAGAAGAGGGAAAAAGAATTAGAAAAAATAAACAAAAGGTTTACGCGAACACGCCTCGTGCATGGTATCAGGATGCGGAACAATCTCGCCAAAAGACGCATAATTCTATAAGGATAAATTCTATATTTTGTGCTTTTGTTTGTACGTATGTGTATATATCTGTGTATGTGTGTTTCTTCTCTCTCTCTCTATATATATATGCATCTTTTTTTATATATGTATATATATATCTATGATCTATTCATATTATATATGTATATATATATACAATTTCCTACTATACTAATTACGCGAGAAGGCTCACGTCGAGATCAAGCTATAAACGCGAGTAATTTCGTTGCTCACAGAGAAATCGTATATATTAGTTATTTTTCGTTAACAAAATCATTTCGATTATCGATTACATTCAGGTAAGTTAAGAAAACAAGATAAGATTTGAATTTATCGTCTTCGAGAAGAACAATCTGATGAATATTAAATTTGTACTTTATGACTTCGCTTTGTGGCATCGAAAATACGTTCATTTGATCTCTATTGTAACTTTGTTACATTAGGAAAGGAAAATAATTAAAACTAAAATAAAATAAAACATTAATTATTGCACCGATCGTGCGAATAATGCACGAATAATAATTGAGTCTGCTTTCGAACTTGATCACTTCCATCTCGTTTGTAGGAAAAAAAATCGCTGAAGAACGAAGGAGGAATCGCGTGGCAATGGCAGTAAGTCTATATATATATAACGAGCGAGCGTTTTAATGCAAATTCACAAGTACGCTTGGATATATATATATATATATATATATATATATTATCCTCGATGTTGAATTATTTATTTGCATTACGACCAAATTTATGTGAAACGTGTCTCAATGATGATATCATGGAGCTGAACGAAGGATACGATATGTGAAAGAGAAAGAAGATAGAAAAAGTTGGAAAAAAACTTTCCAAGATTGCCGCTATTATGCTAGTTTTTGTGTCAGCACCTTATGAAAAACTATAATAAAATATCGTCATCGTCATCGTCATCTTATGTACATGCGTATGCATTAGGGTTCTTACTATTACTAAGGATTTACGAATATTCAAATTTTGAGTACAATTCAAATATTCAAATAGTAAGAGCTCTAGTATGTATGTATGTATGTATGTATGTATGTGTGCATGCATGTATACATCTCTATTTTAAAAGAAGACTAATAGTAATCAATATACAAAGCGATTGAAAACAAAAAGAAGACATATATATAATAATAATAATAATCGGAAGACATTCGTGATATTTGTTGTTAAGAAAAATCGGTCTTAACGTAAGAAAAGATATAAATGCGATTGTCACGCAATTCGTAAATTCCTTCGAATAAAGACGATAACTAACGCAATATAGGCAAGCTGATGCGCGAATGTAAATAGAGAAACGAGAAACAGGATCTACGTATAGATTCATCGCGAAAATGACAAACAATTACAGGGTGGGCTCTACGATGAAATGTTCGAATATACTTTTAGAACTTTTTCATTATAGAAAACACTCTGTATTTCGAGCTAGAAACGATATCTCATTAAGAAATATATTAAGTTTCAAATTATATCAAACTTATTTCATTATAAGTTAAAGGCTATTTTTCAATCGATTATGAATTCTAACTATATAAAAAAAAGAACATAATCATCATAAACGATTCGTATCTTACTAATCGAATTTGAACAGAAGGATTCAAATTCATAGCACGTTCGCAACAATCGACGAGAGAATGTACCATCGAAGATTATCCTCATATCACCAACGTAATACGCTCTCACAGCTTCTTCGTTTCATCCGTCGATCTCTTTCTCATATACTTTAAATATATCTTTTTAAATAGAAACGTAACACCTAATCTCTTAAAGATAAGGAACATCGTCGATCAACGTTATCACATGCAACGTTATTAACGAGACGATTCGTATATGTATAAATAATATAAAGAGGGAGAAAGAGAAAAAAAAACTTCTCTTTCAGGGATTTATATATATATATATATATATATATATATATATATATATGTGTGTGTGTGTATGTGTGTTTGTGTATGTGTATATATACTTATATATATATATATATATCTTTTTTTAACGACATAACAATTATTTTATAACGATTGGAATCTAAAAGAAATTTATAGAGGATACGCCTATTCGATCTTACGAACTCAAAGGGGGGAAAGAAACAAAAAGATAAGAAGAAAAAAAGAAATGAAGTCTGCGCTATGTCTTACTATCGCTCGTTTCTGTCTCTCTGGACTAGAAAAAAAGAAAAAGTAATGCCCGAATGACATGTGTCGTGCGCTTCGAAGTAGACCCTTTATGGGTAATTAAAAGGACGAAGAGGAAAAAACTTGGGGGGGAGGGATGCGCGTGCAAGTTTGACTGCATATAGGCATACGCATGTAAATTCCTTCAAATCGATAAGGAAAAAGACAGTGTGTCTGTTGGAACGAACAGAAGGCCAAAAAAGGAGTTTGCTAAAGTTTCGGCTCATGGTTAAACCATAAAAACCTCGACGAAGGGAGTGCATTCTGGTTGGTGATGATGGCCCGGCAAGGCAATACGTTTTTCTGCCTCCACGCGTGTCAGAGTTGCATCGAGACGAGGTTCCGCGGATGGTGACGTTGCCGTAGTCACTGCCGCGGTTCCTGGTCCCAATTGTAAGCATTCAGTAGGTGCCAACTAGAAAAAATACAATTCAATGATTAATCATCCATTTATATAGAATTTAATTACGTAAATATATATAGATATGCATCGTTTCTTATCTAATGTTTCTTTGAGATAAGTAAAAATAGTAAAACACAATCAAATTTATTTGAGTCAAAAAACAATTTTATATTTGACACATATAATATCTTAAGTTCGGTTATTAATATTATATTAATATCGTAATTATATCTTGGAGAGATAAATATATACATGCATGTGAATCCTTTGCAATGGAACTTTTTTGTTTTTTTTTGTAAATTTGAAGGAGGAAGAAATAGTTCGAATGCAAAGAACTAAGAACCTAATTGAATAGATAGGTAAATATTACCAGTGTCGCTTGTTGAGGTATCGGCGCGATGCCACCGACGCTCGCCGGATTATAATAATTAGTTGGACTAACGGGAGGTGAGGGATAGGGCCAATAAAAGATTGGTGGTGGTGGATATGGGCCAGCGAATTGAGGTGGTCCTCGTGGTAGCATCGCGGTCGTTGGAGAGAAGATTGCACTTGTTACGAATGATGGCGGCGGCGGTGGCGGCGGCGTTGGCAATATTGTGCCTCCTAAATAAATCAAAATTACACAAATATTATTCTCTTTTCTTTTCTTATACTAATTATATATGTTAGATAAAAATGACAATGAACGTTCGACGCGTTAATCATTTCAAAATAAATCAATAAATAAAACAAAAATCGTGATCCAAATACAAAACGTTTCTAAATATCAATCAGCATTCATTAATTAATTCATTAATACAAAGAATCAGTATGCCCCACGGCCTTTTTATGTATGTCTGCTGTATGTACATTAAAGAAAAATGCCCATTATGCAACACAATCGTGACATTCGCAATATCGTGCATTTCTTCTTTTTTTTCTTTTTTTTTTTTCCTCTTTCTATATTTATACTTCACTTATCGTGGAAAATATTCTTTATTTAATTGTAAGAGATCTGCACGATAATGCTTTTTTTAAATAGAGGGTATTTGTACGGTTTCGGCGAAAATGATCATTTCGTTGGAATATAATCGGATAGGTATCCTACTACATTTTTGTTAACAAAAAAAACTTCATTCAACATCGCAATAACATTATTCGCAATAACCGTACATTAACCGCACATCTTCCAAAGGAATAAATGAATTGGAATTGGCCTACCTTAAGCACAGAAGTTAGTATTTGTAGATCCCGCTACCATACAGCAATCGACACTGCACATGTTTTATATATATGTACGCAGCACCAACTTGCGATTCCGCCCCTCTTCCAAATTATCAGAGTTTTACTTAAATTCTCTCCCTTTTTTTTCTCTATCTCTTTCTCTCTTTATAAATTCCTCTTTAACACACCTTTCTCTCTCTCTCTCTCTCTCTCTCTTTCTCTCTTTATCTCTCATTTCTTCTCTCTCTCTCTCTCTCTCTCTCTCTCTTTCTCTGTTCTCTCTTCCTTACCCTCTGACCCAGTATAAAAAGCCAATTTTGCGTGCGACCCACTTGTGATTGTACAAAAACTTAAATTCTTACCTGTATCTACATATATATATATATATATATATCCATCTTTCTTTCTCTTTTTTCTCTTTTTCTCTCTTTCTCTTTCTTTCTCCCTCTCTCTTTCTCTCTCTCTCTCTCTCTCTCTTTCTCTCTCCCTCTCTTTCTTATTCGTAAATGTTTTCCATGTGCATTTATGTAATCATTTAATTTGACATACACATGGAATCATCAACAAATATGTGGATGTTTCGATTGAATTGTTAAATTCTTTGATACATGATGCGAATACAGGTCCATGTGTATTTTCTACGTCGAATGATAGATACATGAAAGAATTCGGAGAAAAAAGAATTTGTTGGCATGACACACAATCATTGCAGTATTAATTTAACCAATTTAGGGATACTTACAATTAGGTATAGAAAGAAAAAATGAATCAATTATATGGTCGCAATGTCAGAGGGAAGAGAGATAACAACAGAAAGACGGATCAAGAGCGGCCACAAGAGAGTAAAATAAAACCAAAAAGGGAGATATCAAATAAGTACGTGAATTTAAAAAAAAACAGAGAGAGAGAGAGTGAGAGATAGAAAGAAAGAAAGAAAGAAAGAAAGAAAGACATACAGACAGATAGACAGAGAGAGAAAGAAATAAATAAAGAAAGAGAGAGAAACAGACAGACGTAGAGAGTGAGAAAGGGAAAGAGGGAGAGAGAAAACCCTGTAAGGAAGATAAAGAGAGAACCAAGAATTACGACACAGAAAAATCTCCAACTTGATCCGTAGACACCAAAGATACCTGCGAGCCCAGTGAAAAAAAAAAAATATACAGAACGTAACAAGAAACGGTGATTAAACTTTTCGCTCTTCACAATTTAATCGTGTAAAGAAATGTGATATAAATATTAAGGAAAATAAAAAAACCATGTGGAATCATTTCTGTGATCTATTTGAAAATTGAATAAAATGAAACGATTTGTTTTAGGCAAAAAGTATAAACACCGTGCGAGGTAATAATAATCAGGGTAAGAGTCCACCAACCCGCCAAGCAAAAAGATCTATATGTCCACAAGGCACATTTATTAAACATGTACATCGATGTAATAATCGATAATACAAGAGAGTGTATACAAGATGTAAAAAAGGATTTATGTGTATGTACGTGTAGGTATGTTTTTATGTATATATGAAGTGTATATGGAAGTGTATATGCAATGTGTGCATATGTGTGCATATGTGTACTACTGTACCACCTTTCCATGTATATGTGAATAAATGTCCTGCATCCCAGTAAAAAAAAAATAACGCTATTTAAAAAAAGGGCACACCTTTCGCAAGAAAAAAAAAGTACTAGGGAAGAGGAAGAAACGTAAATACCGTACACACGGTCGCATAGAATCCATTTAAAAAGAAAAAGGAAGGAAAATAAGAGAAAAATAATAAATCAAGGAAAACAAAAGAAGAAAGATAATGTTGTCCCACGCTGTGTCAACGAATATGCGTGAAATAACGCGTGTCAGCTTTCGCCGGGACAATCGACGATCTTATCGCGAGACATGGATCTAATTCGTTTAACCTTTTTCCATCAACCCCGCTACATAACGTATTATCAAATCACTTTCAAATGTTCAAATTTATCTATTTGGCTTTTCATGTTTTCTTGCAAAAATGTTCTTTTCAAGCACAGATAATTACATATTAAGTAGTGAAAATAATTCGTGCCGTTTCTAGATTTGCTTTCATTCATTTCTATTAATTAAAAATGTCGCGAATTTTCTGACTTATCCAATATACATATGTATAAATTATCTGATATATATATATATACCTGTATATATATATATATATATACCAGGTAAAGAAATAAAATATAAAGGCTAAGAGTTAGGAGAAAGTAATTCGTAAAAGAAACGACACCGTGTCAGTCACCGTGTTAGCAATTCACAAATAACAAACACATTAAACGTAATGAGATAATGCCACAATATCTAAGATGCAGCTTTTGGAGTTAGTTGGAAAAAAAAAAAAAGATAATAATACAAATAATAAGATATGTATGCGTGTGCTTGCACATGTTATAATTATGCAAGGGGAAAGAGCAAATTTTGTCTTTTCATTCATCCATTCATTCTCTCTATACATTAACAAACAAACAAACAGAAAAATGAAAAGGTAATAATAAGTAGAAAAAGTGTTCGTATGATAGTCTCGCGGCAAAGTCGCGTGAGAGTTCCCAGCGAAAGCTAACGGCAAAAAATGTGATGCGAGACATGTAATATGCACGCATATATGTCGATTTCTCGATGCATATGGGGCGCCGCATCCTGCGTTATCATCTAAATAAGTACCAGCTAGGGATATGAGAGTAGGATGCTCGAGTTGGACACTTCGTATCGTTTCGTATATAATCAGCGTTATCGAAATAAAAGAAAAATTCATTATCGATCGACAACGTGTCTCGACTCGAGCAATTCTAATCGATTTGACGACGCATTTCTCCAAGATGCACCCGTGGTTTTCTAAAACGATCCGAGACGAAAAAAATCACGCGGAAATAACAAAATACAAAGATAAAAAATCTATACCTGTTATTATAAATTCATTAAATTGATTTTTCGTCTCGCAACGTTATATTCGACCCTATATCTAATTCATGTAATATTAATGCTATGTAAAGCCGAATCAGGAAGCGCAATTCCGACTTTAAGCGTCGGCAGGCAAACCCGATTTTTTAATCTATGTAAGTTATTCTCACATCGGTAACGTCGGACACCCATTTCGTATACGACCAGAAAATGTTTATGTCTTTTGTAAGTACATGAAAGGAGAGAAATAACAACGATTATTAACGACTACGATAATAATGACAACTAAATGTTAACGACAATTATTTTACTATTTTTTTTGCTTTTCCTTAAAACACGCGAACGTCCGACGTTACCCAACGTACCAAAAAAAAA